CCCGCCCCCCCCCCCCAGGGAATGGGGAGAACAGTCCCTGATGTGAGGTGAGGTCTAGAGAGAGGTCAGATTCCGCCCCCCCATTCCCATAGCCACCTGGTGGCCTGAGGGTGAAAGATGAACCAGATCCTGGAGACACCCCCCATCTTGTTTCCAAAGCAAACAGACTTGGGTCAGGGAGTGGATGAGCAGCCTCTTCTCAAAGAGCAAACAGGTGCTCTCTGCCCCCAGGGAAGGGTGAGGCTCTCCACAGAGCTTGGGACACCAGGGTCCTGCTTTAAGCAGTCCTTTGGATGTGTCCCCAAGTTCGTCATAGTTTTGTAATCCAGGTCTCACAGCTCAGCAGCTTCTCCCTAGACCCAAGGATGTAGAAGCCAGCCTTCCACCCTCAGATCCATGACTCCAGACCCCTACTCTCTCAGACCCAGGGGTGCAGACCCCAAACTCCTCCCTCAGACCCAGGGGTGCAGACACCATCCCTGTTCCTTCAGACCCAGGGGTATAGACCCCTAACAGCTCCTTCAGACCCAGGGGTGCAGACCCCCAGCCCTTCTCAATCAGACTCAGGGGTCCAGACCTCTGCCCTCCTCCCTCAGACCCAGGGATCCAAACCATAGTTCATTCCTGTCCCAGGAATGTATACAACTCACACAGCTTGGGAACCTGGACTCTGTCCCAACACTCAAGCACTCCACAACTTCAAGGTCTTGTTGTCTGTTGGGGGACCCAGGACTCTTGCCACCTATATGTTTGCCCAACTTCTGCCTACCTCCAGCAGTTTAACCTTGCCTTACTTCTGACCTGAGCTCAGAACTGCAGACCTCACCTCCAAGGATTGTCTGACTCCTTTGCAGCCTACTATGGTTAGTACCAGCACTTCGGACCCAAGCCAACATCTGCCGGCCCAGGAGCAAGTCCCGCCCCTACCTTGGGGGTCGTAAAGCCCCACCCTCGGCCCTGCCCCTTCTGCCCCCACTGGGGGCAGAGCGACATCGTGTGTTGAATCCTAGAACTGGCTGTGGTTGGACAAAGGCCCCAGACCCAGGGGGCTCAGTCCTTCTCCCTCAGACACAAGAGTCCAGACAGCTCTCCTCCCTCAGACCCAAGGGTACAGTCCCCAACCTCCTCCCTCAGACTCAGGGGTCCAGACCCAGCCTTCCTCCCTCAGACCCAGGGGTGCAGACCCCAGCCCTCCTCCCTCAGACCCAGGGGTCCAGACCCCAGCCCTCCTCCCTCAGACCCAGGGGTCCAGGCCCCAGCCCTCCTCCCTCAGGCCCAGGGGTCCAGACCCCAGCCCTCCTCCCTCAGGCCCAGGGGTCCAGGCCCCAGCCCTCCTCCCTCAGGCCCAGGGGTCCAGGCCCCAGCCCTCCTCCCTCAGGCCCAGGGGTCCAGGCCCCAGCCCTCCTCCCTCAGGCCCAGGGGTCCAGGCCCCAGCCCTCCTCCCTCAGGCCCAGGGGTCCAGGCCCCAGCCCTCCTCCCTCAGGCCCAGGGGTCCAGGCCCCAGCCCTCCTCCCTCAGGCCCAGGGGTCCAGGCCCCAGCCCTCCTCCCTCAGGCCCAGGGGTCCAGGCCCCAGCCCTCCTCCCTCAGGCCCAGGGGTCCAGGCCCCAGCCCTCCTCCCTCAGGCCCAGGGGTCCAGGCCCCAGCCCTCCTCCCTCAGGCCCAGGGGTCCAGGCCCCAGCCCTCCTCCCTCAGGCCCAGGGGTCCAGGCCCCAGCCCTCCTCCCTCAGGCCCAGGGGTCCAGGCCCCAGTCCTCCTCCCTCAGACCCAGGGGTTCCATCTTCTAATTCATCTTCTTTTTCTTTTTTTTTTTTTTTTTGTCTTTTTGAGACAGGTTCTCCCTGTAGCCCCAGCTTTCCTGGGACTCACTGTGTAGACCAGGCTGGCCTCGAACTCACAAAGATCTGCCTGCCTCTGCCTCCCAGGTGCTGAGATTAAAGGCGTGCGCCACCATGCCCGGCTCCATCTTCTTTTTAACCTCACCCTGCCTTGCCCTCTCCCCAGCTGGTTCCTTTGGTACCCCGTTGTGAGAGACAACTATTCTGAGAGGGGCATCCAGGATCCCAGACACTAGGGTCTTGTTTGGGGACAGGATGAGACTGAATTCCAGAATGATGTCATGAAAGATGACCTCAGACCCGGGGATTGGGAAGCAGGTGGTGGAGCAACTGGGGAGAGAGGGTGACGTCCCTCCTTTTTCTGGGACAGCTCTACTGTGTATTAGGTTTAAAGCATCAAAAATGACATGGGTTCGTTTCATTGTCTAGGAAACACTTTTTATTTTGCAAAAATTTTAGTTCTACAAAAACAGTTGCAAAGATCACACCGAATTCCCCTATGTCCCTCATCCAGCTTTTCCCAAGGTCAGCATCTCACCCAACATTTGTCACAAAGTAATCGGAGCATCAGAGTCTTCTTATTCCTTGATCTCAGGGTCCTTTTCCTGTCCCCAGGTCCAGTCCAGGGTACCAGGGTGCATTTAGGGAACTCACTTTTAAGTCTAGAAAGGGTAAATTCTATAAATTCTGGGTTGGGGAATGTAGCTTAGTTAGTAGAGTGCTTGCTTTGTATGCATGAAGCTGTGGGAGGTTCAGTCCCCAGCACTGGCGATAACCCACATGATGGCGATAACCTAATGCCTGTAATTCCAGCATGTGGAAGGTGGAGGCAGGAGTGTCCGGAGTTCGAGATCATCCACAGCTACATAGTGAGTTGAGGGACAGCCTGGGATACATGAGAACTTGTAGCAAAAAAGTAGATTCTTGTGAAGGGACACTTTCTAGTTCCTGTTCTTCTGCTGGGTGCTAGGAACGGAGGGTGGGATCCACCTGGTCCCTACACTATAGGCATGAGCCACTTAGAGCTAGAGTTGGCATGCTATTTGGGAGAGGAGAGCCATGGAACCAGTCCTGGTTCTCAGGATTGAAGGGTCTTGGGAAGACAGATGGAGCTAGGTCAGTCACAGCCAGGATGCTTGGGGCTTTGTGGAAACAGAATCTGGAAGGTCTAGAAGTGAGAAAAAAGTACATCCTGAAGAGCTTGTGAGAAGGAAGAGGAGGAAGAGGAGAAGGAGAAGGAAGAGGAGGAGGAAGATGAGGCGGAAAAGGAGGAGGGGAAAAGGATGTGAGGAGGAGGGGGGAAGGAGGAGGAGGAGGAGGAGGAGGAGGAGGAGCAGGAAGGTACAGCTGGCTAGGAGGATTCCACAGCTGGGGTGAGGACCACTTTCTGGAGCCAGGATGAAGGTAAGGTGTGGCAGATGGAAGATATAAAGTGTGTAGGTGTCTGCCAGCAACAATGTGATGTGATGTGATGTGTGTGTGTGTGTGTGTGTATCCAGCATGTATAAATGATTTCTACAATGTCATCCACCCAGAACCCAGAAAGGAGACATATCGGATCCTATAAGCTCAGATTTTGTGCTGCAGCTGTTGGGAGCCACCCATGGTCCTAGAGGAGAAGAGTGGTCCCCTCAGAATTTATGACACACATTCAACATGTCACCAGGGTGCAGAAGTGTATCTGCAGGAGAAACAGTCTTTCATCACGAAGGCACTCGGGGGTGAGGGATGAAGCTCAGTTGACAGGGGCCTGCTTAGCATGCAGGAAGCCCTGGGTCCAACACCCCCCTCCCCGGCTCCTCATAAACAGGGTGTGGTGGTGTACACCTGTAATCCCAGCACTAGGGAGGTAGAGGCAGAAGGACCAGAGGTGCAAGGACATCCTTGCTACATAGTGGGTTTGAGGCTAGCCCATAGTGGGTTTTGAGACTCTGTCTCCCAAAAAAAAAGGGCAAGGAGGGTGGGTGAGGATGAGGGTTAGAAGGAAAGGTTAGGAGGAAGAGGAGGAGGGGAAGGGAAAAATAGGAAAGAAAGAAGGAATAAAGCCGGCCGTGGTGGCACACGTCTTTAATCCCAGCACTCAGGAGGCAGTGGCAGGCGGATCTCTGTCACGGCCAGCCTGGTCTACATAGTGAGTTCCAGGACAGCTGGGGCTACAGGAGACCCTGTCTAAAAAAAGAGTAGAGAGAAGAAGAGGAGAAAGAGAAAGATAAAAAGGAGGAAAGGAAGCAGGAGGAAAAAGAGGAAGAGGTGGAGGAGGAAGATGGGGAACAGGAGAAGGAGGAGGACTAGGAAGAAGGAGGAGGAGGAGCAACAGCAACACAGTCTGGACTCCTGAGTCCTGTTTGTGTGTGTGTGTGTGTGTGTGTGTGTGTGTGTGTGTGTGTGTTTGGTGAGGGTGTGTGGGGGAGAGGATTGCACATCCGAGTCCAGGCTTCATTAGGTGCAGTGTGTTCCCTGTCTCAGAGGGCTGCGGGAAGGGCCTCTGGCTCAGGCTCTGGCCACCTGTCTCAGTCACCTGGTCAGGGCATTTCCCCATCCATCCCCAGCCTCCCACCATCTTTGCTTTCATCTCCCTCCTCATCTGTCCACTCCTCCAAGCTTGATCCTCCCTCTTCTCCTTCCTCCCCATCTTCACAGGATACACTCTTCAAGCAACTGGGCCCCTCTCTTCTTCCATCCAACCCCCAATTGTCCCCTAGGACATCTAGGACAGCCAGTGGGGGGCTCCTAGTCTCAGGATCCAGGTCCAGAAGTCCCTGGAGCAAGGTCAGAGCTGGGGGTGCAAATTGGTCCCAGGGTGCTGGTGGCCGAGGGGGCTGGGGCTTGGTAGTCATCCAACCGGCAAAGGCCTCGAACTCAGGGTCAGGGGCCAATGCCACATCCCAAGGGAAGCAGGCTGTGGCGGCACAGAAAAGAAGCACCCCCAGGGCCCAGGAGTCCACTGCTGGCCGCAAGGGTAGGGTATCTGGTGATAGCAGGAGGCAGAGTTCAGGTGGTACAGTGGGCAGAGGAACAGGTGGGGCAGGGGTTGGGCTGCCCTCTGGTCGGGTCAAACCCAGGTCACCTAGGGCCACTCTGCTGCAATCAGGATCGAAGACCAGCACATTGTCAGGCTTGACATCTGCATGTACCAGCCCCCGGCCATGGAGGAAGTCCAGGGCTCCAGCCAGCTGGGCCGCTACCCGCTTCACCATCAGCTCTGGGAGGCCCTGAGGTCCGGGAGAGAGAAAAGGACACACTGTCTGGGTTTCTTCATCACCCTGAAAATAATCTCTTGACTGTCAAAGATTCTGACTCTTGAAGTTTCAGAGTTTGGAACCCAGGGCCCACAGCCCCTTCCAGTGTCTTCATAAACACTCAAGGATCTTCAGATTAATTGCCACAGATCTCTCTCTCTCTCTCTCTCTCTCTCTCTCTCTCTCTCTCTTTCTCTCTCTCTCCTCTCTTTCTCCCCTTTCCCCAGCAGAACCCCACTTCTAATCAAAATCTCATTTTTCCTTTTTCTTTTGAGATAGGGTCCCATGTAGCCCAGGCTGGCCTCAAACTCACTATATAACTGAGGATGGCCTTGAACTTCTGATCCTCCTGCTTCAGTCTCTTAAATGCTGGGATTATAGGTATCCAACACCAAACTAGGTTTATGTGGTGTTGGGTACAGTACTCATGCTAGGTACTTGCATGCTAGGGCCAGCATTCTACCAACTGAGCCACACACCCAGCCCTAGGAGTTATTTCCCTCAAAGATCCTCCTGATTCTAATTCTCAGACCTACTCTGAATATCCCACCCCTATCTGTTTTTGAAACAGGTTCTTCCTATGCAACCCAGGCTGGCCTTGAACTTGCTATGCAGCTCAGACTGACCTTGAACTCATGACACTCCTGTCTCAGACTCTGGAATGCTGGGATCTCAAGCATACACCACCATGCCTACTTTTGTGTCTCTTCTAAACCTACCACACGGGTCTTCTCAGTGGGACTCTAAATCCCCCAGTAACCCTGGTCTTAGTTCCACACTGATGTGGAACTCATCTCTGCCCCAGGCTGTTTTCACACTCTCTAATTTATTTCAACTGGTGGATTAATCTATCCAGTGGGTCATCCAGTCCTTCATCCAACAGTATTAAATAATGCATTTACCCCATGTCTACTCTGAATCTAGGCAGCAATCCAATAATTCAATGAACTCATATCCAACACCCACCCATTCATTCATGCATGCATCCATCCATGTATTCATCCATGCATACATCTATCACCTGCCCACCTGTCCATGCATCCATTTACCTGCTCACCCATCCACATACATAGCTAACCATCCATCTGTGCATCTGTTTACCCATGCATCCATACTTGTACATAACTAGCCATCTAGCTATCCATGCATGCATGCATCTATCCATGCACCCAATCGTGCATCCAACTGTCCATGCATCCATCCATCCATTTGGCCATCCATGTACATAAATAACCATCCTTCCATCCATTTATCTATCATCTATGCACCCTTCTGTCCGCCCACCCACCCATCCAACACATACATACATACATACATACATACATCTAACTAATCATCCATTCACTCTCTCCTTATCTCCCTGCCCACCTCCATTCTTCTCATGCCTAACTCTTACCTCAAATTCAAAGTCCCCAAAATATCTCCATGCTTTTGATCCTCAAACACAAGAGGGCCTGGAATCTCCTGGGTTCAGTCCTGCCTACACCTGGTCTCCTTTCTAGAGGAAACTCCATTACAACCCATCCCCAAGTCAGTCTGCAGACATGCAGACACAGACTGTGCCGGTCTCGGTCCCCATCCCTAAGTTCCTCCTCTACATCTATGATCAACCATAAACCCTCCCATTCCACCTCATCCATGCCTATCCCTCAATTCCAGTGTCAAATGGAATCCCAAATCTGTCTCCACTGCTCCCCTCAGCAGCCCCAGTCCAGCTCTAACCCCAACCCAATTTCTGCCTGGCAAAGTTTGAATTCGGATGGAATAGTGCTGGGGCCAGACAGGGAACTGTGTTGACAATTAGACATGGGCTGGGCAGTCCCCGCCAGCCTTACCTTCTCCTGAAGCATCCCGCTGAGATCACCATAGGGTGCATATTCCTGGGCAAAGGCAAAATGTCTTGGGGTCTGCAGGGGCCCTCCCAAGGTCTGCAGCAGGCCTGGATGTGAGGAGACGCAGCGGCCCACACAGAACTCTCTCAGAAAGGTTGTTTTCAGGACTGAGTCCCGTGGGAGGAGCTTGAGAGCCACAGTTTGACCTGCCGGAGAGATGGAGGCAGAGAGGGACTTGGGGCATGCTGTAGAACCCTAGTCAGGCCTCTTGACCTCTCTGAGCCTGAGGAGGCTCATGCGCAAAAAAAAATTTCTCTATCTGTGAAGGGTGGGTTGGAAGAAGCCTTCCCTGACATACTTTCTTGCTCTGCCTCAGACTGCTGTGTGGCCTTGCATAATTGCCTTACCCTCTCTGGTTTTCTGTTTACTGTTGTATAAAGGGACATGGTGGTAAATTGAATTCCAGCTCAAACTGTACTCCTGCTTTGCTGTGTGACCTGGATTCTGCCACCTGCCCTCCCTGTGTGACCTTTGTTGCTCAGATCACAGAGCTCTGAACTTTCTGAGCTCCCATGAAGTCTGGCTTGTTTCTTAGATGCCTCATAATGGGAGACTGGAAGTCCACCCCTGGGTAGGCTGAACTCACCCCCTTGGCGAGGTTGGGCTAAGAGCACTCGGCCATAGGAACCGGACCCCAGTTTTCGGATGAGGCGATACTGGACACGTAAGCTCCTCACTGATGTCACCCTGCTGGCTGTCAGTTCCACCAGCCGTTGGAGGGCCGTGGCTGTGTCTTCCTGCAGGGAGAGGGAGGTGAGGTATGTGAGGGGTGAGTCTGGGGTCTCATAGCATGACATGAGAGAGAGATTAGAGGCCCAGATCAGAACTGAGCTGAGCGAGGGACAGGGGTGACTGTCCCCGGAGAGGATGAGTCACAATGAGTCACCCAGCCTTGGGCACCTGTTTTTGTGTCCTGGTGAGTTTAGGGGTCTTTGTCTAAGAAACTATGCCTGTCCCCACCTGACAGATGTAGCCAGAAGTACCCAACCCCACCTAGGGCTTGTCCTTAGCCCACAGGACCCCTCCCATGAGTCCTGCACTTTGTTCCCTGGTGGCCTCGGTCTTTATGGTGGGTCTCCCATATATCTGAGTCTCCAGTCATCTCCTCACCTCTGTATCCCCATCCTGGGGGGCCTCAGGGGCCCTGAGCGCCATCTCAGAGGTGCCTGCTCTTGGCTGGCCCTAGAGTAGGCACCCTGTATCTAGACTCCCGCAAAATGAACCAGCACCGCAGGGCCCCTTGCACCCCCACAGGTCCTCGCCTAGTAAAGCTCAGTGCAAGCTGTCGGAAGGTCACCCAGGCTTCCCTCTATGTCTGAAAGAATCTTTTTGGTCCCAGAGATTTCTTAGACTCTCTTTCTGTCACTCTTGAGGGGGTGTGTCACCCTCTCAACTCCCTGTTTATTTCTTTGGTGTCTTCTCGGTTTTCATTCTCTCCAGCTTCTAGCAGTCTCTTCACTCCCTTCTGAATATCTCTCTCTCTCTCTCTCTCTCTCTCTCTCTCTCTCTCTCTCCTCTCTCCTCTCTCTCTCCCCACCCCCCTTTGATGTCTTTGTCTCTGCCTCTTTATTTCTCTCGATCTCTCTTTCAGTCTCTCTTCTGTGTGTAACTTTGTCTCTTTGTCTGTCTCTTTTCCCAGCACCCCACCCTCTGTCTCTCCCTGGCGTCTCTGGGTCCCTCTCCCTGCCCTGCCTCTGTTTGTCCTGGTCTCTGACTTCTCTCCACACTCCCACTGAGTCTGCCTATGGGGTGTTCCCAAGCTCTCTTTTCTTCCTTCTCCCTGGCTCTCTTGGTCTGTCTCTGCTAGCCCTTCCCAGTGTCTCTACGTCTCCTTTTGTTCTGACTGTCTCTCAGAGCCTTTTGTCCCTCCCTTTCTCTGGGCAGAGGTGTGTGTGACAGCTTTGAGACAGAGACATCCTGTCCCCCCACACACACACCTCCCTCACCCCCCTGACCCGCTGCCCCCTCCCTCCCCCTTCCAAACTTAGACCAGCTTGGACTCTGGGCTCTGGTCCCAGGACAGAGGGGACGAAACATATTGTGAACCCCCGAGGCCCAGGCCTGAGGGCAGAGTAAAAGGGAGGGGATATTCATTCACAGTCTGAGCTGGGGTAACTGGCCCACAGCTCAGACCTTGCTCCTGCTGGGAGTGCTAAAGGCCAGAAACCTAGACTACTCCCACAGCCCTCTTAGTACCAAGCTCAAACTCCAGCTTACCTCAGACATAGGAGTCTAGGGCCCAGCCCTCCTCCCCTAGAGCTAGGGATCGACATCCAGCCCTCCTCCTTCAGACCCAGGAGACTAGACCCCATCCGTTCCTCCTCCCTCAGACTCAGGGGTCCAGGCCCCAGCCTTCCTCTCATAGACCCAGGGCTGCAGAACCCAGCCTGCCTCCCTCAACCCAGGAATCCAGACCATAGTCCTCCCCACTCAACCCAGTGGTTTAGACTTCAGTCTCTTTTACCCCAGACCCAGGACTCCAGGCACCAGCCCTCCATCCTCAAACCCTAGGGTCCAGACCCAGCCCCCCTCCCTCAACCCAGAGGTCCAGACCATAGCCCCCTCCCTCAGACCAAGTGGTCTAGACTTCAGTCTCTCTTCTCCTAGACCCAGGGTTCTAGCCTTAGCCCTCCTCCATCAGGCTCAGGAGTCCAGGTCCCAGCCGTCTTCCACCACACTCAGGGGTTCCAACTCCCTTTTCCTTGATACCCATGAGCCCAGAAGCACCCCTCCTCCATGGACACATGGGTCCAGACCCATCCCACCCTGGGGACTCAGGAGCTAAGGTTGCCCGGGACACATTGGATCTCTTTGCTCTACACTTGCCCCATCCCTGGCCAGAGCAAGGGGCTTTACACTGCCCCCTTCCAGTTGCCCATAGTGTCAGGCTTTATCCCCAGCCTGTGGAGCAGGAAATTGAGGTTCCGAGGGGTGGATCGCCTTACACCGGGTCAGAGGGAGCCAGGTCCGTGCCAGGCCTGGGTGACTCACAGCCCTGACGTCGGCACCACTCGAGTTTCCACTACTACTACAGCCTGCTATTAATAAAGACACAGCAACATGCTCTCAGAGGCTCTGGAAGGATCCCTAGGAAACTGGCTGTAGTAGATGTCCCTTCTCCCCCAGGAGCCTAACAGAGAGGGGTGGGCTAAGGTAGAACTTCCTTTGTTCTTTGTCTTTTCTGTGTTTCATTAGCAAAAGTTGCAAATGTGCTGAAAAGTTGACAGAGGGCTAGCAAGATGGCTCAGCGCGTAAAGGAGCTTGTCCCTAACCTGGCAATGACCTGAGTTTAGTCCCCTGACCCACACGGTTGAAGGAGAGAACCAGCTTCTGCAAGTTGTACCCTGACCTACAGAAGTGTGCTGTAATGTAGAGAGAGAGAGAGAGAGAGAGAGAGAGAGAGAAAGAGGGAAATTAATAAAATTTAAACAATAATAGGGGCTGGAGGGATGGCTTCACAAAGTTGTACTCTGACCTCCACACGTGCATCATGGCACATGTGCCTCCCCCACATCATATATACACAATAAATATTTAGACATGATATAGAACTGAGCACAGCAAGAATGAGAACTGGGGTTGGAGAGATGGCTTAGCACTTAAGAGCACTGGCTGCTCTTGCTGAGGACCTGGGTTCATTTCCCAGTACTCATGTGGTAACTAACAATCATCTGTAACTCCAGTTCCGGGGATCTGACACCATCTTCTGGACTCTGTGGGCATTGCATGCATACAGCACACTTACATACATGCAGTCAAGACACTCATACACATAAAATAAAAATTATTATTAATAAAATAACATCGTCTATCAAAACCAGATGTGGTGGTGTTCATCCATAGTGCCAGCACTCAGATGGCTGAGGCAGGAGGATTGTGAGGTGGTTGCTGTCCTGAGCTAGTGAGTTCCAGCCCAGCCTGGGATATATAGTAAGACCCTGTCTCACAAGAAAAAGAAAAAAAATTGGAGTAGGCTTGATAGAGCAGACCTTTAATCCCAGCTATTCAGGAGCTAAGGCAAGAGTTTCAAGGCCAGGGGCTGGAGAGCAGGCTCAGCGGAGAAGAGCACTGGCTGCTGCTGCAGAGGACTCAGGTTCAGTTCCCAGTACCCACATGGTGGTTCACAACCGTCTGTAACTTCAGTTCCAGAAGCTCTGATGCCCTCTTCTAACCTCCTAGGGTATTGCATGACACAGGTACATTTACATACATGCAGGTAATGTACTCATACACATAAAATAAAAAATGATAATAAATTTTTTAAAAATGCTTACAAGTTCAAGGCCAGCCTGAGCTACATGACTGGTTCAAGGCCATCCTGTACACACTGAAACCCTGTCTCAGAAAAATTTAATTAACTCATTCATTAATTTAAATACAACAAGGCAGATGTAATGGTGCCTGCCTGTAAACCTAGCTATTAGGAAGCTGAGGCAGGAGGACAGTAAGTTGGAAGCCAGCCTGGGCTACATAGTGAGTCTGAAGGTAACCTGGACTACAGCAAGATGCTGTCCAAAAGGGGAAAACAAAACAAAACAAAACAACAGGCCAAGCTTGGGGGCACACGCCTTTAACCCAGCACTTGGGAGGCAGAGGCAGGTGGATCTCCATGAGACTGAGGCCAGCCTGGTCTACAAAGTGAGTTCCAGCACAACTGGGGCCACAGGGAGACCCTGTCTTAAAAAGACTATACACACACACACACACACACACACACACACACTCACAAAACCAGTGACTGAAGTGATGACTTGGCTTAGTGCTTAAGAGTACATGCTCCTCTTCTAGAGGACCAGAGTTTGATTCCCAGCGTCTTTATCAGACAGCTCACAACTGTCTGTAATTCTAGCTCCAGGGAATCCCATCCCTTCTTCTGGCCTTTGGAGGACAGTTCATGTTCATTCTCTCTCTCTCTCTCTCTCTCTCTCTCTCTCTCTCTCTCTTCTCTCCCTCCCTCTCTCTCTCTCTCATATACACACATAGACACATACAATTTTTAAAATTTTTAAAAAGAAAAGCAAAACCAAAAACTAACAAATCTTTTATAAATAAAAATAAAATCATGGGAGCTGGAAAGATGGCTCAGTGGTTAAGAGCACTGGCTGCTCCTGTAGAGGACCCAGGTTTGGTTCCCAGCACCCACATGGCAGCTAACAACCATCCTTAACTCCAGTTCCAGGGCGTCCAACACCCTCTTCTGACCTCTGTGGGTTTTGCACAACATGGGTGCGCCTCCATACATGCAGGCAATACACTCATACACATAAAATAAAAATAAATAAAAATAAAATAAAATTACGGCAAAGCAATGTTGAAACTCTGAAAGTGCAAACACGTCGCTGAGAGGAGAGGGAGCTCAGTTAAGATTTTCTTCATAAAATAACGCAAGTTATAGAATAAACTACAGAAGCAATATAAAAGTAAGGAGAATTTCCAGATCAACTACAGTTTTACTATCATTATTTAAGCATATTGGTGTTATCCTTTAAAATCAGCTGTGTGTCAATTTTTCCCCTCCTGAAAAGTCCTTTAAGTACTGTAGTTGAGTCAGAAGTCCATCTATGGCTGGTTTGTGAGACAACTCAGTGGGTAAAGGTGCTTGCTACCAAGCATGGTATAAGGAAAGACCCAACTTCTGCAAGTTGTCCTCTGACCTACACACATGCATGCACACAGACACACAGACACACAGACACACACACACACGCACACTAAAAATAATGAAAATTTTAGAGTCCAGCATGGTGGCACATGTCTTTAATCTCAGCACTCTGGAGGCAGAGGTAAGCAGATCTCTTTGAGTTCAAGGCCAGCCTGGTCTACACAGCAAGTTCCAGGCCATCCAAGGCCACATAGTGAGACACTGTCTTAAAAAAAGTTGTTTTTCAAAGTCCAGACGTGGGGCTAGAGAAACGATGCCTTGGTGGTTAAGAGAACTTGCTGCTCTTCTAGAGGGCCTGAATTTTATTTCCAGCACACACACTGAGTGGCTCACAGCCAGCTGTAACTCCAGTTACAGGGGATCTGACACCCTCTTCTAGCCTCCACATGCACCTACACACACACAGACACACACATCCAAACAAATAAATACATAAATAAATGTCCATACAAGTCTTTCAGGAAATTTTTCAATCTCATTTTCATTATTCGGG